AGACGTGGGGGTCCTTCTCACATTGTTTTGCTAAAGAAATGATATATCAGTATCAGGCAGGATTTGACCCTCCTCCCAAACTTTGAAATATCTGTTTGACAAACTGGGACTTCCTTAATATCAGGTGGAGTAAGAGAGAGAGAGAGTGCCCAGTCCCCCTTCTTTCACAAGGGAGGGAAAAACTGTTGCTTTGGGATTTAAAACAGCACAGGCTTCTACATCTAAATTGGAATGTGAATGGAGCTACCCTGAGACCCCATAGGGTACTAAATCAAAACACAACCCACATTGCATCTCGTGTAATGGCTTAAATGTCATCTCAGAAGGTAGCATGTTTCCAGCTCTGACTCAAGATATATGACTAAGTAGAACCCCTTTTGGGGATCCTTTGCATTTTGTCTGACTAATTTGACCATTACCTTCCCTCCTTCAGCTTTTATCAGCAGCCTGGCTGTAGTTTATGACTCAGTGCCTTGGAGTAGAATCCCTACTGCTGCTGAACAATGCTTCTAGCCAGCATGGGCCAGGGGGGCAGTGTTATTATTTCACTGATACCACGTTTCTTAACTGAAGCTCTGGGCCTGGTGTATGTTATATTTTTAAAAGGGGGAAGAGGACAAGATAATTTCCACATTGAGAGGGGATGAAGCCTGCATTGCCCAAGAGGTCTTGTGGGTGGTGTTTGTTTTAATAAGTGACTTATTATGTACTAGTGAATGAGGATACTGGGGGTGGGAAAATGGGAAAGGGAAGTCCTTGGGGTGTTGCATAATAACACAATGGCACCTTGGGGATCTGTCTGGATGTGTGGGCTTCTGAAAAGTGATTGGGGCATCTCCGTAAATCTGTCATTCATCATCACACTGATGTTATTGACTGTGGGGAAAACAACCCTTCCAAATGGGCAAAATGGGCAGCATGGGTGAAGAGGAAAGAGAGCAAAGGCTGAGGAGGGGAGGAAAGAGGAGGAAGAAAAGGGGGAGGAAGAGGAGGAAAATGAGGAGGAGGAAGAGGAGGAGGAGAAGGACAAGGAGGAAGAAGAGGAGGAGGAGAAAAGTAAAGATGAAAGAGCCAAAGAAGAGTGGAAGGAGGAAGAGGAAAAAAGGAAAGAGAAGAAAACCAGAGGGAGGAAGGAAGGAAGCCATTGTAATAAATGAAGCAGCAGCAGGGTAGGAAAACTGATTTTATTTAACTTGGAGACAGGATTTACACCTCTGTGAGAGGGAGTGAGCTTGGGTCAGTTAAGATTTCAAATCTACACATGGAAACAAGAGGGCTCATAAGTAGGCTCACACGAAATAATGATACCTAGCCCAGGGCTACCATCCAACGTAATGGCTCTTCATAAAGGATGGTCATGGCTGATGTCCTTGGCAATTCCTGCCTCCCTTCACCCAACACATCCAAACTCTCCACACTGGACTAAACCACACAGTATTTATGATACAATAATATTCAGATAGGATTTTAAATCGTAATCCACAGAAATCCAGTTTGGATGGCTTCTTAATAGAGGACTCCCTGGGAGGGCTGAAGAGCTAGCCTTGCATCTTATGACACCTCCTATTCCAGGTTTAAGATTCAGCCCCAGGACCCATCTTGTGCAGAGATCCACAGCTGTTACGTTACTTCAGCTGTGATTCTAGATGCTGTCCCTCGTTGGCACTTTGAAAATTGTCATGAGTGTAATGCTCCCTCCATCTTCATTAAATATGGGCTGAGAGTTCCTATGTCTCATCACCATCAACTTCAGATGCTAAGTCCCAGGATGTTGTGTCTATTTGTGGGGCAAGTCTAGGCTGGGAGGAGAATGGGGAAGTCTAGGCTGTGGTGTCTGCATTCCAGCTTCAGAGTAACTGGGAGAAGTCCGGATGGTCAGCAGCTCTAGTGAAGGATTTATTCACCATGAAAATGAGATTCACTAAATCTAGGGAAGGGATTCTGATAGCAAATACCCACAAATATTGAAGACAGGCTTGAGGGCTTTTACATTTTCTAGATGAGAACACTGAGGCTTGGCCAACATCACACAGCTATATTGTAAACCCATGTCATTCTTGCTTAAACTTGTTCTCTTACATACACATAATGTCTTAAACACACATAATAATGAGAATAATATCTTCCTCAGCAAAGCTATTGACACTCTCGTTTCACTTCTCTGACACCTGAATGCTGACTCTGGGTCAAATTGTCTCATTTTTGTTTTAGCTGTTCCTTTAAGAAGATTTTCTAGACTCAAGCTATGGAATTTGTCCTTGAAATGTGGTCCCTGGGAGCTGAGATCTCTGGATGAACTCCATTCTGTCTGGAATGCCTGTGTCTCTGTGTCTATAATCAGGTTCTAAATGGCCAATTGGAGGGCACAGCTGAGATTCTTCCCCTAAAAACAAATATTATTCAGTATGCTGGGGTAAGTAAGAGAGAGCCTTCCCTGGAAATCATCCATACTACTGACAATTTTGCCTTCCATCCCATTAAATTGTTACATGAATTGCTTCATAATGATATGGTTTTCATTCACTCCCTAAGCTCTGCAGCCTTTCTGCAAGTAGCTTGCCATGGTAGGCTCAGAGTCAAGACTCTCCAGGTTTAACTCCAACGATACCATGTCACTTTGGATCCTTCATTTACAGCCCCATGCCTCTGTTTTCTGTTTTGTAAAAGCAGGCCATTAAGAGTTATCCTGAGAATCGAGTTTATTAATGTGCTTAGTGTATTGTGTTCAGAAAATATGGCAAGCGGGAGCCAAGCCCTTAGAATCCAGTAGAGAATGAAAGTCTGTAAGATGCACATCCTCCTCTTCCTCCTGATCAATCAGGCATCGCCATCTAACCTAGTGGATCTAATCCTGAGCAGTCATTTCAACACAGAGGAGGAAGTGACATTCAAGAGGCCAGGCCAAGCAAGCTAGACTTAGATTCACAGCCTCATTGTCTCTCCACAAGCTTCTTCCAGTCCCCAGTTCTTCTAAGAAACCGTGACTAGTGTCATGATTTTCATTTGCTGTCTGTGTCCGGTGCCAACACTTATCAAATATCCAAATTCAAGGGGATGCCATACTGTGTACAGTAAGGGGCCAGAGAGTAGATATTTTGTTCCTTTGGGCCATAGGCTAAAACCATTTGTAATCCCTTGAATCTGTAATGTGAGAGCAGAGATAGATCTATGTACAAAAAAAAGAAGTATGTCTATTTACAAATACAGACAGTAGGCCGGTTCTGGCACGTGGACCATAGTTCGTAGACCCTTTCCATGGGCCACAGGCTTCTATCTGTAGGAATCATCCCTACCATCTCCTAACTCTACCACATCCCACTTCCTTCCCAGAGCCTTTACATTATATGCCACAGTCAAGTGAGTTAAAATGGGCAGATATTTTCCAGCAAGGTCAGTTGGTTGTGAGGAAGGTGATGGTAAGGTTCAAGTAGAGTCCACAATTAGGAGGAATCAGATATGCATTGGAAATTACAAGACTGAAGGGAGCCATATCTTGCAATTGAAAGACCTAAGGTGTCTGTAAACTCCCTAGTCCTTTCTTCCTTGTTCTTCCTCTACCCCACCCCCCACCTCAAACACAAACATTTGCAGTGCACCCCTTGTTATGTATATAGACCCTGTGTTTGGTACAAAGGAGCCAGTAGGTGCTCAATAAATTTGTGTTGGGAATGAAATTAAAGGTAAGTGATTCAAGGTTCTTACGCCTTCGTGAAGTTCAATCTATGAGAACAAATGTCTAAACATACACTCCAGTAATGCACTGCAGATGCCAGGACGCGATGACATCTCCTTCCCTTTAGTCCTCCTAGAAAATTGCCTTTCAGAGTAAATTCTTCCCACCAAGGTTTTCATTCCCTTCCCCCTCCTCCACCCCCCACTGTAGCTGCCCCTTTCCTTTTCAGAGAGTGCACCTCTGTCTTTTGTACTTGCAAATGAATTGTGATTAGTTTTCACCTCTAGCCCAAGGGATTAGCCCAGGGACCTTTGATCTTCAGGTATCGATTTGCATCTTAAAGGAAGTATGATCTCATCTGGGCCAGCTCAAAATTCCATCCCTTCCCCCAACCCCTGTCTGTTTACTGGCCCTGGGCTGGTCAGGGCCTCCCAAGTGGGGCTGAAACAACAAGATCGCTCAGACACTGCTAGAAGGCAGAGGAAAACACATTTCCCATCTGAGTTGGGCAAGGTGGGAAAAGGACATTTGCTTTCTAAACACAGGCGGGTCTGCTATTTCTCCTCTGGCAGATCAGAGAGACTGCCCACAGTTCCCAGCCTGCAATGAAGATTCTGGAAATTCCTGGATCCCAGCTAGAGATAGCATAGCAAAATGGGCTGAATACAAATTTGAGAATCAGACAAAATCAGGTTCAAGACTGGGTTCTGTCTTTAATCTTTTTTTTTTTAAGCTGTGTAATTGTGGGCAAGTTTTACCATTTCCCCTAGCTTTTGATTTGTCTTACCTCTAAAGCATAAAATCCTGGGCTGGGGATGTGGGTTAGTACTTGCCCAGCACACACGAAGCCCTGGGTTCAATTTCTCAGTACTACATAAACTGAAAAAGCCAGAAGTAGTGCTATGGCTCAAGTGGCAGAAGGCTAGCCTTGAGTAAAAGAAGCTCAGGGACAGTGCCCAGGCCCTGAGTTCAAGCCTCAGGACTGACACAAAAAAATTGTAATTTAATTTAAAAAAAGAATAAAATCCTACATGGATATGGTAATGGCCATCCTGGAGAGTTAGTATGAAGAAAAGAATGATCAAATAAATTCACCTGTCATCTCCATCATCTATGAGACGCTAATGTATTAGGGACCGAGATAGCTATTCTTCAGTATTGCTAGGTTCCTTGTTTGATTTTCATTGCAGTATTCCCTGGTGCCTAGAACAGTGCCTAACACATAGGAGTCACTCAATAAGCATGTAATATAAGGAGTGAACCATCATTTATAGATAATTATCATGATTATAAATAACCAACCAGCCAGGACATGGTAACGACTTACCAAGGCAATTGAAGGAAACCTCTTTTTGGCAGAAAAGGGAACAGCCATCACCATTCATCTTATTCATGTCATCACATTCTTCACCTTGGTCTCTGCACAGTGGACACAGAACAGAAATTTAGTAGATCATTTCATAACATGGGCAGGACAAGGACAAGTCCTTCCATGGGCCATAAACCTTCCAGGAGAGTCCCTTTATCTTCACCTGTTTCTTCACGTTCAAAGCAAGTTTCATAAAAGGTGTAGATTTATAAATTCCTATCACAATTGCCTTATTTTTTTGCTTCTGAATACAAAGTAGAATTCTTGTTTCAAAGTTATTTCTCTAAAATTTCAAGTTCCTTAAGTTACCAAGTCAGTCGGGAGTAAAAACTGAGTGAAAACTAAGCCAAGGAAGGAACAGATCAAGAAAAATCTCATTGCTGGTTGCTGGGAAGGTGGCTCAGTGGTAGAGCACTTGCCTTGCATGCCTGAGGCCCTGGGTTCGATTCCTCAGCCCCACATAAGCAAAAAGAAAAAAGCCAGAAGTGGCGCTGTGGCTCAAGTGGTAGAGCGCTAGCCTTGAACTGAAGAGCTGAGGGACAGCGCTCAGGCCCAGAGTTCAGGCCCCACGACCGGACCCCCAAAAAAAAAAAAAGAAAAAAGAAAAATCTCATGCTGTCTTCATTTTTCTGATTGTGAGTGAGTGTGTGTGTGTGTGTGTGTGTGTGTGTGTGTGTATTTGTGTGTGTCTCTGGGTCTGGATGTTGTCCCTGAGGGATTTTTTTTGTTTTGTTTTGTTTTTTTGTTTTTTTCTTCTCAAGGCTAGTGCTCTACCACTTGATCCACAGCTCCATTTATGGCTTTTAGGTAATTAATTGGAGATAAAAGTCTCATGGACTTTTCTGCCTGGGATGGCTTTGAACATGATCCTCACATCTCACTCTCCTAAATACAGCAACTAAGATTATGGATGAACCACTAGTGCCTGGCTGTGTTTCTGATTTTAAAAGGATTTTGCAAGAAAATTTTGGGGTTCCAACAATGTAAATGTGACTCCCTCACTCTTTGAATTGACAGCTTCCCTAAATCGCTTAGTACACTGAAAAGGAAAGTTTATTTTCACTCACATCCTCTTGTTTAGTAATCTTTGATTGAAAGTTAACTCTGACCCTGCTTGTTTTCCTTGGAATTATTTCCATCACCTAAAGATGATTTTAGCATGGGCAGAAAACAAGTATTACTCATTTTCTGAATTAAGCTTGAGCAAGGAGAAGGAAAAGCACAAACTGAAAGACTAGATAGACTGCAACTTTCTGGAATGTTCCCATCCTTTCAGAACCAGACAATCTGTGTTTTAGAACCCTATGTTCCAAACTAACTGCATAATCTTGTTTACGTCTTTGGCTTCTCCATCTGATCATTCTGTGATGACTTAGGCTAATCCCATTCTTCATTCACAGTAGCCACACATCAAGTTCTGAGTTGCTACTTGTGTGTAAGTTGCTACAATCTTGGAAAGTTCAGAACACATTTACATGGTGTAGAAAAGTTCTTTCTTTGCATGGTGTTCTTACAGATTCAGAGCTTCACTTTCTTGTCTTACAATGGAGACAGTTGCCCCACTACTTGTGTTGGATACAAAAAAGGGACTGTAACTTCAAGTGTCATACTGAGTAGATAGGTGCTCAGGGAATCACGTGTCTCATTCCCACTTTGCCTTAGGAGGTCTCTTCAGAGACCAGCTGGGTCCTGTCCCAGCATGGAAAAAGCCTCAGACTTTCCTTTGACCAAGGCGATTAACACCAGGCAATGATTGTTGTTTTTAGGAGGTGTCAGAGTAGCAGGAGAGTGCCTAGCAATCAATCCTTAAGATGGCCTAGGACACTGCACTGATCTCCAAAGAACCACCCGGGTTCTCTCTTGGCAACCCATGAGCAAAGACCTCCATACTCCCGTCTCAGTCTTCTCTGCCAGAGAATCTTATAGGACAGGACAGCAATTGCTGATGACCCTTTTACTTCTTAGCTATTTCGTGGGTTATCTGGGGAGAGACTTAAAAAAAAAAACAACAACAACCAAAAAACCTGGGCTGGTTCCCTAAGCCACAAAGAATATTTCCAACCTGCTTTCCATCACCAGTATGTTCTACTGGTTTAAGCCAAACATCAAGGTCACCACAAATATCTTGTAGGCATGACAGATCTATCATTAGATAGCATGGTTCTGCGAAACCTCCTTTGACCTCACAGGCCTGGGTGAGTAGCCATCATTCTCTGTGTTCACAGACATGTTGCTCCATCCATCACAGAAGTTGTCAAACTGACTGCCTTGGTCTGTTACTTGAGGCCTATGTGAAGCTGTGAGGTGCCTAAGAGAGTAAGAGAATCTGTCATCCTTCTACCTCAGTGCCCAGCATAATGCCTGGGCTGTACCAGGCAGCATACAGCCACTCCCTCATTTGTTAGTTCTGAGGGGTCATCAGGCCCCAGAGCAACCCAACGATAGCTCCAAATGAGGACCTAGCTCTCAGGTCCTATGTGTCACTTACTCCTTACTGAGTGTGTAAGCTTGAGGAATCCACTAGAGTCCCTGGACATTAGGGGTCTTCTTCTAAAAAATACGATAATAGGACCTATCCAATGCCGTTGTTGGGAAGAATCAAGGAGATCACAGGTAGCATGATGTCTCAATGTGACAGAGGCCCAATAAGTAAATGTTTACAGATATTCTTATCATTAGAATTATCCATCTTTACACTAAAGGTGAATTTGGGAGAAATTTGGTGTAGATCATTTGTGTCCATAATTCTTCATAAATTCCTTTTCCTATAAATAAGATGATGACACCCCTTCTTTCCTTCATGTTACCCTTCTTTCTCTTCCATCATTCTTCCCTCTATATCTCCGTGCTTGCTTCCTTCTTTCCTCCTTTCTTTCCTTCCTTCCTTCTTTCCTTCACTCCTTCTTTCCTTCTATTGTTTCTTCCTTTCTTTTTCATCTTTCTTTCCTTCCTTCTTTCCTCCTTCTGTTCTCCCTCTCTCTTGCCCTCTATTCCTTTCTCTTTTCATTAGGATGAGATCCATTAGCTACATACAGTTTTCTACAAAGTATAGCATATACCTGCTATCTACAGAAAACCTAAGTATTTGGTGTCTATCTGTGTAGAATACTGAATCTAGATTTAACTCCCCCCCCCCCCCCAATTAAATAGCTTCATTAAGTTGTGGAAACTATTGTAAATCAATCATGGTTATGGTTGCCATTTCAGATTGGTAAGAAAAATGGTAGTTTGTAGTGTTGGTGCCTGTGTCTGGCTCCAACAAGGATGGAATTAATTGTAAATTAAGGCTCCCAATCTGTCAATTAAAAAATTATTTGTGCCAAGTTAGAAAATGCCAAATCACAATTATGGTTTATCAGCAGTGACTGCAAATATTTTCTGAATCTTCTGGGCATGCAGCTTGATATGCAGCGTGCAATCGGACACTTTCTCTCTGAACTGAGCTGGAAGCACAGGCCTCTGTGTGGGAGAGAAGCATGAATGGCTCCTCTTTCCCCAACTTTGTTGCACTGGGAACTCTGTCTTCACATTCTATCGCTGTATTTGGATGTGGCTCTTACCTGCACAATGCTCACTGTAGAGTTCATGCTCAGACCGGCGAGCAGCTTTATTTTCTGTGTTCTTAAGTCATACATTCTTGGCAAACACCATAACTCAACACTTAAATTTACATTATCTCTCCAATATTAACATCTCGATTATTTTCTTTTGAAATTAAACTCACAGGATATTCAGGACATAAATATATATCCTGGATGGATCTGCTTGAGGAAGCCACTTGAAATTGTGCTAATGATCATTACTGGCATTATCAGTGTTAGCTTTTTAAATGTCTTTTTCTGGATGCCCATGGTTTATATTCATAATCTTAGCTATAGCTGAGATTGAGAGTAGTAGGATTTCAATAACTGAGGCTCAGTCTCAACAGAAAGATACTGGGTATGATCGTCTGGCAGGAAGTGAGATAAAAGATAAACAGCACAAAAAAGAACTGGAATTATTCACCATAGCTAAGATATGGAACCAACCCAGATGCTCCTCAGTAGATGAATGGATCAAGAAAATGTATGTATACACACACACACACACACACACACACACACACACAATGGAATTCTATGCCTCCATCAGAAAGAATTATACCACCCCATTTGTTAGGAAATAGAAAGACTCGGAAAAAATTAAGTGAAGTAAGCCAGACTCAAAGAAACATAGGTCCCATGGTTTCCCTTATCTGCATTAACTAGTATGTTTAGGACAAGCAGAAGAGGTAAAAAAAAAATGTACATATGACCATATAACGATGCTAAGCAACATGAACCCCAGGATAGGGGCACAAGAGGTTTTATCTTTGTTGTTGTTCTTCTTAATGTACATATAATATACTATGTGATTTTTTTTCTTTTGTATATTTTTCCCCCATGGTACAACAGAGGTCACTATATTTGATTCTGGTGCCCTGCATCTTGTATATACATTTTTCTTACTTGGGAGGAGAAGGGAAATAAAAAAATGCTGAAATAAGGATATAGGATGACCCATTGTAACAATGAGATGTATAAGACAGTACGTTGAAAATGAGCTTTACAACTTTGGCGGTGGGTAGAGAAAAGAGGAGAAAGGAGTTAAGGAAGTGGGGAGGGAGGGGATGGTAGGGGAAATATAAAGGAGGGTGTAACAATTCTTATTAGGAAATGGACTCATTACCTTGCTCATGCAACTGTAACCCCTCTGTACAGTATCTTTACAATAAAAATATACATTAAATTAAAAAAAAAAGATCTGGAGGTATAGTTCAGTTGTAGAGAGCCTGTCTGGAAATGATCAGACCCAGGGCTCAAACCTCAGTGCCAATAAGGAATTTTGTTTGAAGTCATTCGTTTAAAAACAGTAAAAAATAAAAAAATCAAACCTTCAAAGATACCAGATAAATTCAGATAACTCCTCTCTGAAAGTTACCTAAGTGTACGTTAATACTTGTTTACTGAATAATTGGCATCAGTCTTGAAAACATGGGGGAAAGCACAACCCTTATATAGATCATTACATCAGAAGAACAAGAGTGCGTGCTGAATGTTTGTAATCAGTATTCTGACCAGTGAACATACAGTGGGCTTTGCACTGTTTATGCAGACAGTGTTTGCGAGTTTCATCTGTCTTAGTAAATAAAACAGAATTGATGTTGTATATAAAAATGTACATGTATATATATATATATATATATATATATTACTTAAAGATTTTGAGTTGTTACTTTCTACTCACAGCTGACATCCTTCACTGGGGGACAGAAGCAGATTCTTGTACACATTTTTTTGAGGGTTAGTAAAAACAAAAAACAAAAACAAACAAGAAAAGAAACTCATTGGTCCTCATCTGATCTCACTGATCTCACATTTGCTATTTACTTCAATATTAGTCAAGATCCAAAAGCATCATGCTGGGCAATAACTGTCTATGTGGATAGGCATTCATGTGCAAACTCTTATTTTTTTACTCCTACAACTGTAACATGTTCTATTCTTAGCTGCTCCCTTTATCCCAAAATAGAAGTTTCTAGTTGACCTCACAGACCCACACGATTGCCAATAACACATTAGGTTGCTCTTTCTCCCTGTAACATCAGGTTTAGTGACAGACAGGAAGAAGGCTAACCCTGCCCCTTCCCCATCATATATGTACACCTGTGAGCTAGCTGATCCACCGTCTGTACATGGGTGGTTTCATGGCACTGTGAGGCACCACCCCTCCCCCCACAGAAGGAGTAATTGCGATCCCAGGTTGCACAGATATTATGTGACACCCAACAGGGCCATTTAATGGAGGAATTTTGCCAATAGCTCATTTTTTCCCATTTCCACACATAATGATTATCATTAAATCTCTCACTCATTTTTTTTTAAAAAGAAAAACCTCTTCGTTGATGGTATGATACACAAATTGATACAACAGCAATAAGCAACAGAATTTTCAGCCATAAGAAATCTAGTTTTGAATGAAATGATAGTTGGTCTTGTCTCCACCTCTAAGGAAAAATAAAAGCAAAAACAGAAAAAAATGAAATGCCCTTGCAATTTCATGCCAGAAAATATTTTTATGCTTATTCAGGAGGAAAGGAACTCAAAATCTCCTGCTAGTTCCTATTAGGCAGGTGTCTAGCATCTTGTCCTGAGGACCGAGGGGATAGGATGGACTGAAAATTCCATCAAAGCCCTATCTACAACATATACTTTTATATTCTTTAATCAGAATTTCTTTTTGGGGTTGGAATCTTTATACTCACTGATTCATTTTCTCCCATGAACTCCTTGTCAGATTCCATATTCAATCTGGGGTACTATGTTTCAGTATAATAGTATGTTAGAATATCTTGTTATTTTTATGACCCTTGGACCTATTTTTGAAACTGTTGATATCCAGTCTTAGCAACCAGAAAAATAATTTCAAAAATGGCTTTAATTGGGATGAACTCTATCCCGTTAACTGACTGTGGGTTTTGACAGTAAAAAGACAAAGTAAGAACAGAAGAAAAATGATAGTAAGTACATAATGGTACCTCTGTCTAAGTCATCTACTGAGAACTGTGTGTTCCAAAAGAGTTACTGGTTTTCTTCGAAGGCCAGTAAATGACTTGCAGACCAGTTGGAAGCTGGCTGGAGATCATTAGCACCTCGAAGATCATGTACTGATTAGAATCTCATTAGCTCTTCTCTCTAAGAACTCTGACAATCTTGCCCTCATTATATACTGTGCTCTCCTCTTACAACTACTTACTTCTGGATAATACCATCACCACAGTATCCACTTCCATGGATGTATATGGCAGCAGATGATGGCTCACTCTCTTCGGTTCCTGAAACGGTGATAATCTGGTATTGGTACACACTGCCAAGTTTCAGATCCCTAGAAAATGTAAAGAAGACAATTAGCTAGACAAACATAATCTGAGGTGAGGCATGTCAGGAAAGAAAAACCGATTATACCAAATATATTCTACTAGTTTTGCTGTCCCCCACCCCACCTTTTTCCTTTCTTTCTTTTTTCTCTTCTTTCTTTCTTTCCTCCCTCCCTCCCTCTCTCCTCCCTTCCTTCCTTCCTTCCTTCCTTCCTTCCTTCCTTCCTTCCTTTCTTTCTTTCTTTCTTTCTTTCATTCTTTCCTTCTTTCCTTTCTTTTTTTTCTTTCTTTCTTTCTTCCTTTCATTCTTTTTTTTAAGACAGGGTCTTAATATAGCTCATGCTGGCTTGAACTCATAATTCTCCTGATAGAGCCTCTTGAGTGCTGGAACTTACAGTGTGCACCACCATACCTTTTTTAGCCTTGTTCATTTTTTGAAATCAAACACACATTCAGTTTACTATAATTATGTAGTGAACTTACTAGATAATTACTGAGTTAGTTATTATCTAGTGAAGTATTGACTAATGCATTCTGTTATACACCAATGAAAACAAGTGTTAACTGATGGATAAACATGTAGAGACTTTTAACTTCTATACCAAATATGCTAGAAAAGTAACAGATAACATGTGATCCATAGAAAAGTATTTGGGAGAAAACAATCCAGGATAAAAAAAAAAAACATAGTGTAAGCAAAAGCACTGAAGTGGGAAATTATGCTATGGGATTCCCTGGGCATTATCTGATTGTTGCCTCTCATTATAAACCCATGCAGAATTACCCCAGTATGCATGAGCAAGCTCTTTCCTGATGTTGCATCTATAGCAATTCTCTTTTTCTCTATCACATGATCCTCCCAATGTCTTTCATTCTTGTCTGAAATAATAACAGTAGCATGTATTAATCTAGTATTGGCCCTGGGCAATGCACTTTCTATGTGTTTTCTCATTTGAGAGTCAATACACTTGTACATGAATACTTGTACTTTCATGTTAATTTCACAGATGATGAATCTGAGACATAGATAGTTCAAGCAACTTGTTTGCAACCATATGCCATTGAATAATATCCTATATCCTGTCTCCTTTATCCCCACATTCGACTTGTGTGCATAGTGTAAGGTCTTGTCCTGGAATTGTAGTTTTTAGGGCTGGTTCCTGTCAGATTTCCAACATGACAGGATGATATTTCTCTATTGACTTCAAAAACTCTTAATGCCTATCCTGATTTTTTCACAAAGGAAACACCAAATGAACCTGGCTGCCGCTATTTATACTCCAAGGCAAATATAGATGACCAAATGTCTACTCCTATCTTTCCCTTTCCATCATTTTTCAAAAGGAGATGTTATTCCTTGTCTTCATGACTCTCTGTACCAAGTATACATTTCTTCATAATAAAAATCTAGCATGGGGAAAAAAAACACAAGAGGATAATGAAGAGATTCCAGAGTGGATGGAGGTGGATTTCATAAACAAAAGGACAATGTCAAAAAAAGTCTCAAGTTCTCCTGCCTCTCTGTTATTTCAGCTGCTCTTAGGACAGGGGCTGTTTGGATAAGGCCACCAAGATAACAGGTGCAGGGCATAGGCAGAAAAGGTCTCCTCACTCTCTGATGTATTGGAGTTTATGAGCAGTGAAGGATTCTAGAGAGGAACACCACCTTTTTGAGAATGTTAGATCTATTATCCTCCAAAGGGAGTTTGTTTTAGGAGTACTAGAGCAGTTACTGATGTTGAGGGTAGACCAGAAGTCCCTGCAGATTCCGTTAAGGTTCTGTTAATGAAGATAAAATGAGCCGATACATAAATATCTTAAGACAAGGTCCATATAAACAATTGTAAACCTCTAAAGGTCAATTTGTTGATAAAGATACAGACTTTTTTTTTTTTTTTAAAAAAAGCTTATTAGCTGCCTTATCTTCATGTAGAATAATAAGTGTGTGTGTGTGTATGTGTGTGTGTATCTTGTGACTTAAAACTGAAATGCAGTTAGGGAAAGAGTGGTATTTGTAGGGGATGCATGAAGTTGCAAGATAATCATGACAAATATTAACTGATTTTGCTCTAAAATTTAGAAGTATGCTCCAGGCTCCATCCCAGGCCACCGAGGACATGTGGCCACTGTCTGAACAGAAAGGGTACTTTCACAGGAAAAGCATGGCAGTACGAGCATATAAAAGAATACTTTGCAAAATGAGCTACAAGAAATGGAAACAAGAGATTTTTGTTGTTGTTGTTGTTGTTGTCTTTTCCTTTTGTCTTCTTTGTTAGTTTGTCTTTGGGAAGGTAAGAGGGAGCACAGAAAAAGTTGTGATAAACGGTGAACAAATACAACAGTGTTACCCACTAGATACTATGTGGAAAGTAAACTGTACAGCTTGGGTTGTGGGGAGACTGGAAGTGAGAGAAGGAAGGGGTGACAGGGTTCAAAAAGAAATATACTCATTACCTGACTTATGGAACTGTAACCTGTCTGTGTATCACCCCTGCAATAACAATATATTTAGAAAAAAATAAAAAGTATGTTAGTGTGATAAATTCTCCATGCTGTTTCTTAGGTGTGGTTTGTGTAAACCTGATTTGTGGTTGAAATATTTAAGTGGTAAGCTAATCTTTGTGAGAGCTTTCCTTCTCTTTCTTATTCTGCCCTCTCTCCTGCCCTCCTCATTCTCCTCTTTAGTAAATACCAGTTTAAAGGTAGACAAACACGTTCTGTGCCCTGTCTTTGTCACTGTTATCCAGGCCATGGTTCTTTCACAGGTGTCTAACTTATGTTTGTATTTCTGACAATTAGAAACAAGTATTCTTGGTTGGGCATGGTGGTGTGCACCTGTAAGTGGTAGGCAGAAATAGGAGGATTGCTGTCTGAGGCCAGTCTGGATAAAAGCCTATGTGGAAAAACAAAAACACCAAATACCAAAGAATCTAATTCTATCCCAAGACAGTGTTTTCCAGGCATGGAAGTCCCAGCTGTTATGAGGTATAAAATACAGAATGCTAGAAATCAGAAGTCCTAATTGTGAACCAGGAAGAGCCCAGAGGTATGATCTACAATCTGGGAGACACAGTTCTCTGTGTCGGCCACTGATTTATTGGCTTCAGACAATCCATTTCTTCTCTCTGAGCATCTAATTCTACACTAAATAGGAGTTGGGAAGGCAATCCTTAGTATTAATCCATAGTAACAAGGATGTTGTCTTCTATTTCTCTGTCATGAACATTTCTACAGGCCAGAATCTGCCTCTGCTGCTAAAATTCTGCAGTAAGGATGGGTGTCAGTCAGAACCTACCACCCAGATTGATCTGGAAGATACATGGGTGAGACCACCCAGGATGTCTCTGGCTCAGGAAGAGCCCAAGTATTCCAGTCCACCCTGGGGCGAAGAATCAGAGGGTAATGCCTGGGCACTCTGGATACCAGCTTGTAGCCAAGAATGGGAAGGAAGGAAACAATCACTTTTGGAGCCCCTCATGATGTGCCAAAGACTTAATATATACTATTACGATTGTTTTAATGGAAAAATATTTCAATTACATAGAAAAGTACAGAGAACACTACAATAAATGTTCATAGACTTCCTCTCCAGCTTTGTCAAATTATAACATTGGCCACATTTTCCTCATATCTTTTTGATTTTGGGTGGGATAGAAATAAAAAATTAAAACATTTATATAGTCTGATAAAGTCTGAATGTATCTCTTTGCCTGCCTCTTGTATCTTACTTTCATTTCAGGCACATTTTTGTTCTGATGTATTAAGCTGCATATTTTGAATGTTATAGATTATACTTATTTACACAGCTCCCTTCTGTCCATCGGTATTGGTTAGAGATTATACACATTGGTGAAGGTGGATCTAACTTGCTTAATTTTATTGACACAAAATGCTCTACCTTACACACAGATCACACTTTAATTGGCCATTATTTTGATAGATTGTTAGATTGTTATTGATATTATTATTTAATCCATCTTTTTGTTCATTATTTGTAACAATGTTGCTGTAAAGATTCCTACACAGAGCCAGAGTTGTCTGAAGATAGAACAAAATTGGTATTGTTAGGTTGAGAAGTAATTGTATTTTAAGTTTATTATTAGTTATTGCCAAATTATTTTTTTCCAAATGGATGCAGCAATTAACAAGTTAATCAGTAGAATTCCCATTGCTTCGGGGTTTTGCTGACACTCAGTTTTGCCAAACATTCCATGAATCGTATTATATTTAATTATTGTATTACATTGTCTTTGGTTGATTGCTAAGTCTGAGTATCTTTTCATACAGTTGCTTACTACATTCATTTCTAGCCATGTGGATTGCTTGTTCATCCACTTGCCTACTTTAAAGTGGGTTGTTGTGTATTAATGACATGCATTTATATATACTGGGTAGCAATTATTCACAAATAACTTCTCAAGAGTCATTCTCAAATCTGTGACTCTCGTGTCTTACTTTGTGAGCCATCAATACCTTGTAATGTTTCTGATTTTGAAGGAAATTCTGTAAGCCCAACAATTTACACACTGTTCCTTCAACTTGTTGCCTGTCTCTACAGCTATTTATAAGGAAAGCATTCCTAATCTAAGTGTCTTACAGATATTGGTATTATAAGAAATAACAGCTTCTCATATATATATATATATGTACATATATATATATATATATATATATATATATATATATATAGTGTGTGTACATTGTACATTGAATGAATTTGTATATTCCAATAGTTTGGAATGATAAAAATATTTGAGCTATACTAGATTTCATATTTAGAAGTCTTCATAGACTGTTGAATTAATTCTAACAACTTGTAGATGCTTCTTTAATTTTTGCACGGAGTTTCACCAGATGACAGCCTTTTTTGTTGTTGCTGTTGGTCATGGAGCTTGAACTCTGGGCTTGGGTGCTATTCTTGGGCTCTTCAGCTCAAGGTGAGCGCTCTACCACTTAAGTCACAGCGCCACTTCCGGTTTTCTAGTGGTTTATTGGAGATAAGTCTCAT